CAACAACAATAGTAAGATATGCTTGCCATGGAACGGTCAACCATTCAAGATCCAAAGATGGCACTGACCTAAGGACAACACTGAGAAGGTAGGTGGAATGCAAACAGGAAGCACGGGGAGGAAGTGGGATAACTGTTGTTACAATCATTGAGATGAAGCAAAGTGCACAATTTGTTGAATGTAAAGCTGATGATCTTCTCTACAAACCTTCACTCAATTCACAATAAAAAATTTCAAAAAAGAAAAGAAAACCCTATGAGGCAGTTGTAGTTTGTTACACAGCGGGGGGTGGGGGGGTGGGGGGGTGTCACCCTAAGTCCCAATCGACTACAGCAACAAGTTTGATTTGGGTTTTGGTTTTATCCTGTCTGGCTCCTGAGCCCAAAGGATCAACTATTATGTTGTCCTTTCTCCAAGAAAATGTTAATCAGTGGCAGACTCAAACCTAGGTCTGCAGCCTCAAGAACTCCAGTTCTTGTGCTCAAAATTCTATTGCCTCTCAAAAACCTTACTTGAGCCAAAACAGTTTTGCAAAAGAAAAACAACACTGGAAGATTCAGATTTCAAAACTTAGCTCAATGGTGCAGGAATCAAGACTGTGTGGAAGGGGCCCAAGGACACACGTATAGGAGCACACTGGAAGTAGGATGGGTCCAAGTCAACGGGTACATTTATGGTCAATTTATGTTTCACAAGGGTAGCAAGATCATTCAATGGGGGGAACGGAACAGTCTTTTCTACAAATACCACTGGGATAACTGAATAGTCATATGCAAAAGTTGGGCCCTACTACAGAACATATATCAAAAGTAACTCAAAATGGATCAAAGACATAATGTTAAGATCTAAAACTAAAAAGCTTTTAAAAGAAAACAGAGGAATAAATCTTTGTGACCTTGAATTAGGCAAAGTTTTCTGCAACAACATCAAAAGCATTAAAAAAAAAAAAAAAGAAAGAAGAAACAGACTTTCATTTGGACTTCATCACAATAAAAAATATGTGTTATTTTAGGTTGTTTATGTATCAGACTCCTCGTGTGGTGCTGTCCGATCAGCATTGGACTGTGAACCAGAAGGTCGGCAGTTCAAACCCACCAGCTGCTTCTGGTGAACCCTACATAGGGTCACTGTGAGTCAGAACTGACTCCACGGCACTTGGCAACAATAATTACGCACCAAGAAAAATAAAACAAGAACACAAACTTTTATGTTTCAAAGAACTCCATCAGAAAAAGTGAAAAGACAAGCCGCAGAGTGGCCCACAATATTTGCAGATCGTATGTCTGAAAAGGGGCTGGCATCCAAGTGGTGTAAAGAGCTCTGATGGCTCAATAATAATAAAAAAAAAGACAACCCAATTTTTAAATAGGCAAAGGATTTGAATAGACATTTCTCCCAAGAAAATATATAAAGGGCCAATAGGCACAGGAAGAAGGAGCTCTGGTAGCGTAGTGGTTACGGATCGGGCTGCGAACCGCAAGGTCAGCAGTTCGAAACTACCAGCTGTTCCGCGGGAGAAAGATGAGGCTTTCTGCTCCCGTAAAGATTTACAGCCTCAAAACCCCATGCAGGGTCGCTATGAGATAGCACTTAACAACAAGGCACAGGAAGAGACCATCCGGGCAATGTTAAGTCAAAACCACTAGGGGTCAGCACCACACCAGCAAGGACAGCTGAAAATAAAAAGCTCTTAAACCACAGTGCGCGCCATGCTCAGCCCCTAGTAGAGTTTACAGACTAGGAAAAAAGACCTGGGAATCTACTTTTAAAAATCAGTCCACGAAAACCCTATGTAAAGATGGCACGGGACCAGGCAGTGTTTCATTCTGTTGTGCACCGGGTCACTGAGTTGGAACCAACTTGATGTGTAGTTACATGTTGCTGTTGTTAAGTGCTGTAGAGTCAGTTCTAATTCATAGGCACCCTGTGCAGCATTTCCAAGGAGTAGCTGCTGGGTTTGAATCTCTGACCTAAGGGTTAGCAGGGCAGTATTTATCCGACAGCGCCACAGCAGGGCTCCTAGGTAAACACATAAACACACATGTGTATAGGAAGGTAACAAACATGAGCATGTATAGCATTAGCTATTGCTGTTAAGTACCGTCAAGTTGGTTCCAACTCATAGTGACCCAGTATAGGGTTTCTGAGGAGTGACTGGTGGGTTTGAGCCACTGTCGTTTCAGTTAACAGTACAGTGTTCATCCTACCGTGCACACCAGGACTCCAGGACCTATAGGCATATATAGAGACTTCATATTGCATATGAAGGCGGTTCAACAAGTTCATGGAAATTTCGTTGTCTTTTAATTCTATGTTTTCACAGACTTTTTGAAGACCCAAGGAGCTCCGGTAGCAGACTGGTTACGAATCGGGCTGTGAGCTGCAAGGTCAGCAGTTTGAAACTACCAGCTGTTCTGAGGGAGAAAGATGAGGCTTTCTGCTCCCATAAAGATTTCCAGCCTCGGAAACCCTGTACAGGGTTGCTATGAGTCGGAACCGACTCCACGGCACATAACAACAACAACAAATATATATTCACCTATACAACAAAGCACAAAAGGAAGCACAGCTGTTGATACTTTGTAGGCATAACTGAACACCTTGCAAGATTGGTTTACTGGGTTTGAGGCTTAGGACCATAGTCTCATGGGAAAACTCCGTCAATTAGCATAACATAGTTTGTAAAATTTATGTTCCTAGTTTAGTGAGTAGTGTCTAAGGTCTTAAAAACTTTCGAAAAGCCATCTAAGATACAACTATTGGTCTCTATTGGTCCAGAGCAAAAGATAAAGAAGGAAACCAAAGACTCAAAGACAAAGTGAGTTCACAGGAGTTCACAGTCTGCATGAACCCTAGCCTTAACTACCCTGAGCTCAGGAAAACTAGAAGGTGCCTAGCTAGCAATACTGACCATTCTGACCAGGGATATAATAGACGATCACGGATAGAATGGGGGAAAATGTAGACCAAAACTCAGATTCTTAAAAAAAAACCAGACTTAGAGGAAGCTCTGAAACCACTGCCCTGAGGCAGCCTTTAAACTTTGACCTGAAACCCTCCTTTCAGCTAAACAACTCAGCTAAAGATACAGATTGTTGTTAAGAACCATGGAGTCGGTTCTGACTCATAGTGACCCTGCACAGGGTTTCCAAGGCTGTAAATCTTTATGGGATCAGAAAGCCTCATCTTTCTCCTACGGAGCAACTGGTAGATTTGAACTGCTGACCTTGTGGTTAGTAGCCTAACTCATAACTCACTTGTGACCAGGACTCCTCAAACAATATGTATAGAAATCGTTAAACAAGAACCTAATTTGCTGTGTAAACTTACACCCAAAACACAATCAACTCTATATATTTTAGAGTTAAACACAGAGTTCTCATTAAAAAAAAAACAAACCCTAAACTGTTGCCATCAATCCTGACTCATATACATCCTACAGGATGTATATATGTATATAGAACGGCCCAAACCTACAGACCAGAGAACTGTCCTGTGGGGTTTCCAAGGAAACCTATGGAATAAGGAAGCAGAATGCTACTACATACATCTCTCCTGCAGGGTTCCAACAGACAACCTTCTGGTTAGCAGTAGAGTTCTTTAACCACTGTATCACCAAGGTGCCTTAGAGGTCTCACAAACCCAAACCAAATGAAACCCAGTGCCATTGAGTTGATTCTAGTTCATAGGGGCCCCACAGGACAGAGAAGCTGGCCTACAGTCAGGAGGAGGATCAGCAGGGGTAAAGCTGGGAGTAGCAGCCAGGAGAGAATCTGTTATAAGAGTAGGGGCGTGGCCCGGGACAGGATTTCAAGGCTACAGGGAGCTGTGAGTCGGAACTACCTTCAATGTTAGCACCAACAATAAATGAGGTGGAAGCAGACCACCTCATCTTTCGGGTGAGTTTTAGCTGCCAATCTTCCAATTAGCAGACCAATGCTTAACTCACAGCACCACCAGGGTTCTTTAGAGTTCCCATTGTTGTTGATGTTAAGTGCTGTCAAGTCGATTCCGACCCATAGCGAACCTGTACAGGGTTTCCAAGGAGCAGCTGGTGAGCTTGAACCACTGACCTTGCAGTTCAAATGGCTTTGCAGTCTGACGCATTAACCCACAGCGCCACACCTGAGTTCGCATAGATCCTAGCAATTCCATTCCTAAGCATAGACCCAAGAGAAACGAAAATATGCTTACACAAAAACTTATGCAAACTTTCATAGCATCATTCATAATTGCAAAACAAAAAAAGTTGAAACAATTCAAGTACTCATCAATGGACCAATGGATAAACAAAACGTGTTACAGACATAAAACAGAATATTATAGAGCCTGAAAGAGTGTCCTGATACATACTACCAAATGGATAAACCTTAAAAACATTATGCTAAATGAAAGGAGCTCTAGCAGCGTAGTGGTTATGAGTTGGGCTGCTAACCTCAAGCTCTGCAGTTCTAAACTACCAGCCGTTCTGTGGGAGAAAGATGAGGCTTTCTGCTTCCATATATATTTACAGCCTCGGAAACCCTTTACGGGGTCACTAAGAGTTGGATCCAATTCCACAGCACACCATTACCACCACCAAGTGAAAGAACCCAGACACAAAGGCCACATAAGTGTATAATTCCATTTACAGAAGTGTCCAGGAAAAGGCAAATCCATAGAGAGAGAAAGGAGATAAGTAGATGAGTGCTTTCCAGGGGCTGGCAAGAGACTGTTAATAGACATGGGATTTCTTTTGGGGGCGATAAAAATGTTCTGGAATTAGTGGTCATAACGTACAACTTTGTGAATATACCAAAAACTACTGAATTGTACATTTTAAAATATAGTACTTCATGGTATGTGAACTATCTCTCAGTCTTAAAAAATATGGCAAAAAAACTTACTAGAACACCTATTTTGTGCCTGGTGAATCCTTACAAGCCCTTGGGGTCAGATGGTGTGCCACTGTTAAACTGAGGCTCAGGGAATAAACCTAATTTCGCTGTACCACTCACCACATTTCCCAAGCAAGACAAGCTGATCTTCAGATAATAAGGGAAACCCAGGTATTTCTGTAAGGAGAAGTTGAGTGAATACCCAGAACCAAGTAGGGAGCGGCTCCAGAACGTCTCCTCCTGTTGCCCTAAACTGGGTCCCCTCACCTTGTCCAGTTCGATTGGAGAGTCCACCAGTCTTTTGAACACGTGCTGCACTGTGTCCACGGGGTCTTGATGAAAGAAGCGGTCCCTGTCAGCAGTGTTCTGGCCTAAACTCTCAAATTTATTCAAGGTAATCTGCCAGGCGCACTCATCGCTTTGTAATGCCCACAGCCTCCATGGCGCCAAGAGCATAAGCAAAAGTGTCCACAGCACCTGCAAGACTAGGGATCTCCGCCCCGAAGAGACTGCGAAGGACATCGCAAGGCAGGACGCAACGTGTCTGGAACCTGGAGAACCTAAGGGTCAACGCCCGTCTGCAGGAAGGCTCTCAGGAGCCGCTTTCTGAGACCTAGCCTCTCCGCTGCGCTTGGCCCCGCCCCTACTCCTAACCCCACGTCTCTGGCTTCTGGCTCCGCCTCTGCTCTTGCTCCTGGCTCTGCCCTGACACCGGCGATTCCACCTATCCCGGGCCCCGCCCCTACCCTTACTCCAAATGCCACGCCTGCTGATGCTCCTGGCTATACCCCTGCTCCTGCTCCTTGTTTCGCCCTGTCTGCTCACCTCAGCCCTGAACCTTTCTCCGCCCTTACTCTTCGCTTTGCTCCTGCTTTGCACCCCTTCTCGGTTTCTCGTTTTGGCCTTGCTCCTCCTCCTGCTCCTCCCTCTGGCCACGCCCCTGCCCCTGGCTCTGCTCCGACTTCTTGCTCCGCCCCTCCACTTTTCAGCTGATAGGTTTCTTCTTGTTTTGGTGAGGCCCTGGGTCCAGGTCTGGTCCTTGGTCCCCCTGTTCTTGAGATCTTCCCAGATCTTCTTGCCTTTCCCCTTCCTCTGTCCCCGCCCCTGTTTCTCTCCTGAGGCACGCTCTTCACCCAACTTCGGTTCCTTGTCCTGCCGCTCCCCTTTTCGGCCCTTGCCCCTCCCCTTTCCAGCCCCCCCTTTCCCCTCACCCAGTGCCACCTGCTTCTCTCCAAGCCGCTCCTCACCCCGCCCCTCACCCGGAGACCACTCCCCCAGCAGCTTCTCGCCCCGCACCCTATTCTCAGCTTTTGCTCTCTCCTCGCCCCGCACCTTCTCGCCACGGATCCTCTCCTTGCCTTGAGCCCTCTCCTCAAATTTCGCCCTCCCTTCGCCCCGCCACTTCTCGCCCCGCGCTCTCCCCTCAATCCGAACTCTCTCGCTCCGTGCCTCCTCGCCTCGAGACCCTGGGTCGATTTTAGCTCTCTCCTCACCCCGCACTGGCACTGACTTCTCAGTTTGCATCTTCTGAATGTTCCCCTTTCTCTCCAGTCGTGACACCTTCTCGCTCCGCCCCCTTTTCTCGCCCTCCCTTTCCATGCCCTTGCCCCGCCCTGCTTACACCCCGTTTCTCCAAGCCCCGCCCTGCCTCATCACCGACTTCTGATCTAAGTACTTCGCCTCAGCCTCTCCCCTCCTCCCTTCTGCCCCTTCCTACCACTCTTCTCTTCTCTTCCCCCCTTTTCCCTCCCTTCCTCTGTCCCTCCCCTGTCCCCCACACCCCCCCCCGCCCGGGCTGGCCCCCAGGCACCACCCTCTTCTCCCCGCTCCACGGTACCTGCCACTTGGTTAAAACCGGTCAACCGTTATTTGGTCCCTCCAGTCTCGCCCCTAATGCCCGGTCTCAAAATGGCTGCCCAGACCTCCCAACTGACTTCCGCCCTTTCCGAAGCACACCAGCCTCGCGCGCCTGTCTCCATGGTAACGTGCAGCCCGCCGGCCTGCCTCCAACAACCCGCGTCTAGAGTTTGAGAGCAGGTAGGAAAAAGCGCCCAGGCGCACCTGGTATGGCCGGCAGAGGGTGTTAGAGACCCTATCATAGACTAGAACCAGGGCTTCGAAGAGATCACCAGAATGTCAAATACGGGTGTACCAAATCAGGAAAAACTAAAAATTGACAGCTTGATGCCCAGCTAGAAACTTAATCTCCTTAGAAAACAAGGGCAAGGTGTCCGTTGAAAATCTCTTCACCTGCAAAGTCTGATACATGGGTACCCCACTCAAAGATGGCGTCAGACCTTGCCACTTTTAATGTGTTGTTTTCCACAACCTTGGCAACAATCCAATCTTCAGCATCAGGCTCCTGGAAGGACTCACTACATCTCTTCCGAGTCTCCCATTCCAAATTTTGTAATTTTTTCCATTCCGGTTATTGTTCCAGCACACCCATATTTTACAAACGCGGATCTACGAAGGTCATGATGGAATCAGTTTGAACTATTGGAAGCTCTGGATAGACCCACCTTCAAGGAGCAACTGCTGGCTGTTCTGGCACCAAACCTCACCCCTACTCTTTGTTCTAGCTAATCAGGATTTTATACCAAAAGTCTCGTTTGTGCTCCATCGTCCTCTACAAAACATGGGTAATTCTCTTACAGTTTGTGAGAAATACTGTAAGATAGCATGTAAAATGTGAAGCACAGTACCTGGCGCAAAGTAAATTAATAATGTCAGTAAATGAACCATTTTCATTTGTATTATGGTGCCTAACAGTTAAGAGACTCAGAGATGATAAAAATGGCATGGTTGGGGAGGCACCTGACTGCCTTCAATTTTACAAGGGGGCAGGAGAATCAAGCTTGACAGCCCAGGGCTGATTCCTATGAGACAGAGCTCAGACATGCCTCCACCCTTTTTCCCACTTCTGACACCAGCGGTTCCTCCCCTGGCATTCTCTGCTTCTCTGCTGGGTTTAACGTTGTTTATAGTCCTGCCGAGTGAATCAGTATTGACTCATAGAGACCCTTGTACAGGGGTTCCAAGGAGCAGCTGATGGGTTTGAACTGCCAACCTTGTGATTAGCAGTCCAGTGCTGATCCCAATAGTTCCTTGCTATGGCCACACAGAAATCACAGATAATCCTCATAACTATGGGATTCATCTAGAATGTAACAGGTTACAGTTCAGATTCAGGAACACTCAGAATATGGTTCTTTGATCCAGACAGCATCTTCCCAGCTGTGCCTACGGACAGGTCTCTCTCAGCCTGAAGGCACTCAATTTTAGCTCCGTTGGGTCAGCAAATGTAGCTCCACCAATTACCCAGAAGCACCCTACTCCATTAGCAAGTCTCCTGCCCAAAGACGCTCAGCTTTCTTGCTAAACCAAGAAGCCCACTAGGCCGTCTCCTGATTCATTTCCACTGTTTCTCTATCTCTGCTGTTACAGCTCCGTCTCTGTCTCCTGGGTCCCGGAGGTTCTAGCCCAGGGATTCTGGGTCCAGAGGAGGTGCTCCACTCCCACCCCTTCTGAATGGTATGAGGTTCTCCTGTCTACCTCTGTCTGGGATGACTCATTTTCAGCTTAGCAGGATGGCACAACGGATCAATCCACTCATTTGAGTGCCATACACATTGTTTGCACGATCCCACAAGGGTACTGTGCACCTGATTCACATTATTAGCAGCTTATCTAATTCCCTTGTTGTGGTGGTTGTTAAGTAGCCTGGAGTCATTTCTGACTCATAATGACCCTGTGTAGGGTTTCTGAGGTGTGGTTGGTGAGTTTGAACCGCTGACCTTGTGGTTCAAATCAACCTCAAGGTCCAGCGCCACACCAGGACTCCCTTGGTGGGCCAAAAAGCACCTCATTGGCATGCTCCCACACACTTCACGGGAGTTCCAAAGACTATGGCTAGAAGTGTCACAGTAAGTAATTCCCTGAATCTTCTGGTGTGATGCTGTAGGATCTGCAAAGGACTATGAACCACAAAGTCAGCAGTTCAAACTCACCAGATGCTCCTGCGAAACCCTATGCAGGGTGGCTATGAGTTGGAACCCACTCAATGCCACTTAACAACAACGTCCAGGGACTGTGACTTTTATTTTTAATGTTTTATTGTGAATTATGTGATAGTTTACATGGGAGAACATTAGTTTTACATTCATGCTATTGTATATCATTTCATTGCCATGGTTACAATACCCTCCATGTATCATCAACCAACCAAAGTGTATATACCCTACAAGCCTGCCTCCCGGCCGTCAGCACATAGCTCCTCTCTCTCTCTGGGTCTAAAGTCCCCAGCTGCTCCATCTCTTCACATCATTGTCTCTGCCTCCATCTCAGGCATCACTGCTTCTCTGGGTAGGGTCCCACTCTCCACTTTTCTCCCTTGACGGTCCCAGGGACCTCCACTCCTAGACTACAAAGTTAATCACTCCCCTCCTTGCTACAAAATGTCTACCTTTACATTTACAACCCTCACAAGCAGTCCTGATAACAATTATGGACTGTGACTTTTTAATGAGCTGCAAAGCTGCCTTTAAACTAAATCAGTGGTTTTCAAACTGTGTGAGTCACTGGGAGGGCTTGTTAAAACAGATCGTTGGCCTCCACTCCAAGAGTTTTTGATTCAGTAGATCTGAGGGAGTAATTCAAATGTGACGCATACAGGAAAGATGAATTGCTGGAGAGAGGGTCCACCAAAAGGAAGGAGACCCTCAATCAAATGGATTGACAGAGCAGATGCAGCAATGGCCCCAGACAGCAATGATTATGGTGTTTGGTACTGTTGTATGTAAGGTCACTAAAAAACAAACCTGGAGCGGGGTGCAAGAATTTGTATTTCAAGCAAGTTCCCAGAACCACACCTTGAGAACCACTGCTCTGAAACCTTCCATGACTCCCCAGAACCCAAGGTAACATCCAACTCCTCAGTGTGGTTTCCAGAGTTCTTGTAACTGCTTGTTCCTGCCATCTGATACAAGCTCATCTCCTTTCTCCCCTTGTTGTTAAGTGCCATCGAGTTTGTTTCCCAGGTGTGGCTGGTGGGTTTGAACCGCCAACCTTGTGGTTCAAAGTACCTTGAGGGTCCAGTGCATTATCCTGCAGCGCCACACCAAGGCTCCCTTTATATTATAGCCTCTGGGATACTTACTGTTCCCTACCCTTTCACCTGGCTGATCATTTCCCTTCCTTCAGATCTTGTTTGTGATGGATGACCAGCCCCCATCCCATCCCTGACCACTGTCCGAGAATGGGTCTTTCTCTCCCATTGGTTCATCAGCTCTAAGAACAGGGCCCAGTGTTTTCTGTCACTGCTGTGCCTCAACACAGACTAGATGCTTAATGTAAATGAACAACTGCTGGAAATCTACCTCTGACCCACTCCCATGGACCAGGGATAGGCGACTTCATCTAAGAAACTTAGCAGCTGGGTGCCTGAGCCCTGTGAGACTTCTCAGAATCAGTGACCT